GGTCTTTTCAGCATTTTTTCTCAAAAACCTCAGAACCTTACTCTCTCTACCCTTCAAAATCCTCTAACCTCTCTCTAAAATCCCACAAGAAAGTTTCACCAGAAATTGGAAATCCCATTGGTTTTTGAAAACTTTGTCAAAAAATTCAATCGAAAACTGGAGAACCCACTGGTTTTTAAAAAGCTTGTTGGATTCTAGAAATCTCACCAAAAAATTCAAACCCTGCTGAAAAATTCAATCGAAAATTTCATCATTCGTCGAAAATTTCATCCCAAACCCAAAAAAACCCAAAAAAATTCCAAAAAGAAAAATCCTAAAAAATTCAAAAAAATTCCTAGGTCATTTTAAACCTCTCAAGAACTTTTTACTACTTTAAAATCACTTCTAAAAGCCCAAAATCCCTCCAGAACTCCAATCAAAATCAAAGTCCCAATTTTCGAATCCCAAAAACTCCTTCTGCTAGAATTTTCCCAAAACTTTTCTAGCAATTTTCTCTCTGCTTTCTCTTTGTTTCTGTGTGTCTTAGTGTTAGAATCAATTCAATTTATAGGCGATCTTAAGAGCAATTTTAGAAAACGGACAAAATCAATTCCAGACTTGGATCCTATGATTGCATTCTGTCCAGTAAAATTTTCGAGTCCAAAATTCCAGTCAGTCTCCTGCTTATATGATTTGGCATTAAAAGTTTGACTCGACAGGATTTTGATTCTGATTTTGTTACGTGTGAATCAGAATAGAAAAAGAAATAAGGGAAAAAAGAAAAAATAATAATAAATCTAATTGGACTTAAATGGGCCAAAAAGGATTTGACCAAAATAGGCCCAATTTGGTTTGGCCCAAAATGGGTCCAATTAGGCCTGGACCAGAACGAGCCCAATTGAATCAGGATCAAAATGGGTCCAACTAGGCTTGGACTAGAATGGTTCCAACTAAACTGAACGAGAATGGGTCTAATTGGACTCAAATCAAAACGAACGTCTAATTGGGCTTGGACCAGAATGGGCCCAATTAAGTCTTGACCAAAATGAGTGTCTACAATGGGCAATTTGGCAATGTTCCATAAAGTTAGCAAATGATTTCCAGCTACTCTTTTCTCTATGGAAATTGGATCGTGATGATGATCTTCCAACTAATGCAGGGGGGATGAATAGGAGAGTGATAGCTCAGGCTCATTGTCCTCTTCACAAGATGAGAACATTTTACATAAGCATTTAGAGATTTCAAGAGTTGGAGAAATCTACCGCTTCATGTCAAAAAAGGCAATAGTCAATTCTTTTTCTGCGTTCAACTTCGTGAATGGCGCTTCCAAAACCTCAAACTTGACGTGAAGGTGTTTTGTGTTGGAATAAATGATAGCCAAAACTTTTTTCTACCTTAAACCTTGGGAGTCTAGACTTCTAGTAAATCGTAAGCATAATTGGTATTGCTTTCGTAGTTGATGGTTTCATGGGGAATATCATATCAATATCTAATAGAGTGGTAGTGTGGTTTCTTGGATTTCTTAGGATTGTGATTCCAACCGCAAACATCTGTACAGATACGAGGCTCATCGTCATACAACTGGAGTGTAACTGATGGGATGAGACTCCAAGTCTCCAACCATGTGAGCAACATGTCTACCCGTTCCAAATCTTAAGGCATTATCTCACCAAAAGAGGTTGAGGTTGGCTCTGTGTCCAGCACCTACTGTGCAGACCACCGCTCCAAGTTGTGAGTCAATGCAACTTTGTTTGCATTTACTAGAATCTAGATTTGAAGAAGGTACAATTAAGTTGGCCGGGGCTGCCTTGGAATACGATTGTCATATGGTACAGTTTTTTTTTTTTTTTTTTAAATTTTGGGGGACACTCTAATGAAGTTGGCTTCGTGATTCTAAAGTTCCCCTGCTTTTTCCTTGTAATCTTTGGTGGTTTAAGAGTTATTATAATAAGTGTAATAGAGAAATAAAAAAAACCAAATACCAGATTCCAACACTGATTTGTATGATAAAGAAGCATCATTAATCCCTGCTTAGAGAATCTTTGGAGAAGAATCTGTACTATCTATACTAAACAGTTACTCCTCAAAGTTATTTCATCATGAAAGGAATCCTTTTAAAAGTAGTTAACTACAAGAAATGAATGATCATCTTGCTTTTTTTTTATTAGCTTTTAGATTTTTTTTATCGTAAAAAAAAGATTGCAGGAGTTTAAAAATAAAAAAAAATTACAAATAAGATTTGAATTTTAAAATTTGTTGAATGTCACTTACTAAAAATAATTGTATAAATTAATTAAATTATATTTTGAATTGAATTAATTTTTAGATTTGCTTTTAAGTAAAAAATTCCTTATTTTGCTTGGTTGACTTTAAGGCATAATTGAATGGCTTACAATGGGCTTCAAGGGGATCCATCGTCACAGCTGGCTTGGCGGTGCCAATCCCACCGAGTTTTGAAACCGGTTCTTATTTTTAGCTATTTTGATTTTTCTTTAGCCTAAGGTTTTGGCTTCATTTCTAGAGATTTGAACACTTGGATGGATGTGTCTGCTAAATCTCTGTTAAGCAATGTGCAGCGGTTAAAATTGGTTGAAACTTGAAACAATTGAAATGCCTAAAACTATGCGGAGGTATTTGGTTTGAAAGAATTTATATATTTTTCTTCAAAATTTTATTATTGAATATTTGATTTCAATATTTGATTTAAGATTATTTAATTTTAAAAAATTAACATATTTTCAACAGTATCTAAAGTTTCAAAATAAAAAATTTATCTTTTCTTGTGATATTCTAGAATTCTTAAGAGAAAAATAGCGTTATTTTCAAATTTGACCTGAAAAATACCTGAAATAACCGTTATCATTTTGAACAGCATGTCTAAAAATGAAATAGATTATTAAAGACATTTTTTATTAAAAACACTTTCAATAATTCTGTCATAAATTTTTATTATATGATTACTGAAGATTTTTTTTGTCAAAAAATGTCTTGAATTATCTTTAAAAAAAATTTTAATGACATTATTGAAGGAATTTATGATAAAAATACCTTCAATAATCATCTTATAAATTTTTATAAGGTGATTACTCAAGGTATTTTTAGACAAAAATACTTTGAATAATCTTGAAAAAATTTTGAAGACGGTTATTAAAAGCGTTTTTAGCAAAAAAACACCTTCAATAATTATGTCATAAATTTTTATGACGTGATTACTTAAGGCATTTTTCGTCAAAAATACCTTAATAATCTAAAAAAAAAATTTAATGGGATTATTGAAGGTATTTTTAGCCAAAAACACCTTTAATAATCCCCAAAAAAATTTTTAATAATGTTATTGAAGACATTTCTAGTAAAAAATACTTTCAATAATCCAGTCATAAATTTTTATGAAGTGATTACTCAAGACCTTTTTGAAAAAAATGCCTTGAATAATTTTGAAAAATTTTTTTAAGGCGGTTATTAAATGCGTTTCTAGCAAAAAATGCATTTAATAATTTCATCATAAATTTTTATGACATGATTACTTAAGGCATTTTTCGTCCAAAAATGACTTGAATTATCTTTAAAAATTTTTTTAATGGAGTTATTGAAGGCGTTTTTAGTAAAAAACGTTTTCAATAATCCTTTTATAAATTTTTATGAAATGATTACTCAATGCGTTTTTGTCCAAATATGCCTTAAATAATCCCGAAAAAAATTTTTAATGGGATTATTAAAGGTATTTCTAGTAAAAAATACCTTCAATAATTCAATCATAAATTTTTATAAGGTAATTACTTAAAGCGTTTTTGTTGGACAAAAACGCAAACAAAAATACCTTAAATAATCTAAAAAAAAATTTTTTAAGCAGTTATTAAAAGCGTTCATGGAAAAAAACACATTTAATAATCCTATCATAAAATTTTATGACATGATTATTCAAAATATTTTTTTGTCAAAAATATCTTGAATAATCTCAAAAAAAAATTTTAATAGAGTTATTAAAGACGTTTTTGACCAAAAATACATTCGATAATCTCTTCATAAATTTTTATGATATAATTACTTAATGTGTTTTTCGTTAAAAATATCTTGAATAATCTTAAATGAAATTTTAATAAAGTTATTGAAAGTATTTTTGACCAAAAACACCATCAATAATGTCTTTAATATTTATTATTTTAAGAAAATTATAATAATTATTTAAGATTTAATATATATAGATTTTTTCAATCAAATGAATGAATTTGAAAATAAAATATACTGAAAATGAAATTTATTTTTAATATTATATTTTCTTGAGGATTTTTTTTTTTTAAATTTACAATTTCATGAATAAAATGTCCACTACTACTAAGATATATATATATATATATATATATATATATATATATATATAAAGAAAACAGACACTAAATACTGCAAGATTCTCTTTGCTTTCATTATGGTGTCTTCCACTAGTGAATAGTAAATGGGAGAGGCGGTGAAGCATCTTCATCTACTTGTGAATAAAGCAGAAAGTAAAAGTTGTAACATTCTATGTTTCTCTTTTTTCTTGCGTTGTTCACTTTGCGTTGAGATCATAAACTAGGGATAAATTATTTAGTATAACCAAGAACAAGGTAACTGAAGAGAAAGAACAAAGACCGAGAAACACTCAAACATGCTTTGGAACATACTATTTCTTGGTTTAATAATTTGATAAAGTTTCACCTTGAAGACCAACAAGTTATCTTGAAAACCCGCAGTGAGAACTACATACAGATTGGCATCGCTGCTTCCTGAAGATTTTGCATGAGTTTTGGACCAGAACATGATGGATTTGACTCAAAAAAATGGCATGAATTCACGGCCATTCTAATTTTTGACTTCAATCCAATGGCCTTGCAGAGAAAAGAACTCAAACTAATAGTTTAAAGACAAGAGGAGAAAATAAGAAAAAAATTGTATACAGAACCATGAGGTTGAATTCTTATAAAGATCAAACTCAGATGATAATTAAACACAGAGTAAAGCTTTCCTATTCATTTTTTTTAATCACATCAATGCAACAATCCATTCCTCCTTAAGATCCTGGATGGATCAGCAAAGCGAGCTGAAAAAGAGCGAGAAAGATTGTCAGGTTCTGCCCATCCTGTTCCTTGGTCAAAATTTCGTGAGTATCCATCTGGGTCATAGGAAGCCTGGAATGTAACAGGAGAACTGAAGATTTTCTTCCTTTCTCTTCTGAACTTCTTCCAAAATGTTATCCACTTTGGTTTGGAGCGATCATCTTTGCCACGTTGCGTGTAGCTCCGGCCTAATGTGATAGTTTCTCTGCCTGACTTCTGCCTGTTCCATACTTTGATTTCCATGGCTAGAAATGAAGAAATTATGACCTTTTTATCTTTAAACTCATTCTAGACTTAGGTGGGAATTGGATGAGGTTTATATAATGCATGTACCGTGACTTTATGTATATAAATATATTATATATAAGAGAAAGCAACTTACACTATATAAACTTCAAAATATTTTATACATTTTTTAATTTTTAATTTTGGTAGATTTAAAGATGAAATTAAATATATATATATATATATATATTCATGACCCAATTATATTTATCATTTCACCTAAAAAGAAAAACGTCATCAAGTGATCTTTGAGCATTTGTTCAGCCAATTACTTGGCTGCATAAACACGGCTTGGCTATCAATATTTTGGATGACAATGAATGATTAAAAAGAAAACAGCTATGGTCAACTTAAGAATAATTCAATGGAAATTCTCAACAAAAAGTCCCGTAGATGGTATTTTTGGGTGGCTAGAGGAGTTGAATGAAGGTTGAAGGTAAGAAAATTTGAAGCTGCAGTTAGAAAGTATGGCTATAGGACGTCGGATTTGATTTTTCGGAATGCACTTTTATTTTCAAAGTCATTAAAATGTTTAAAGTTTAGAAAGGATAAAGGTGAAGTGAGTTCAAAAAGCTACAATGCAAGAAAAATATTTCAATTGTATGTACTTAGATTTTCTATTTATTTTTATATGAAAGGAAAGATAATGAAATAATTGACATGATAAATCTACATAAATTTAAAGAGAGTTTACATAAATGATTGTAAATTATATTTAATAATTTGAAACAAACATAAATTATATATAATAATTTTAAATAAATTAAAAATTAAAAATTTAATTTTAAAATGATACTTTAATAAAATATCGATGTTAGATATCTTTTTAATTTTAAGATAAATATGCATTAATTACATAAAAAAAATTACTTTGCTAATTGAGTAAATAGTTCTAATAAAATTGAAATATAAATCTTAATAAGAATATTAATGAAAAATTTTAGCTCAAAATTCAAAAACATCGGATGAAGAAAAGATGGACCTGGAATCCTGTGAATAAATGAGAGAGAAATTGAAAAATTAATCGAAACGATCTGAGGCTAAATTAAGGCTCCAGCGAGTTTAAAGGTAAGCTACTAGCTAAGTCTAGAACCAAAACTAGAAAGAGAGGCCCACATTTTCCAGCTTCAAGAGTCAAAAGTTAAACAACCGAAAGAGTCTTCCTTGGCTAGCGGCGTGCAAGTGTATCAAATATAAAATACAGATGTACGAATATTTAAGCAAGTGAAGGTGATTGAATTTTTCCAAGGATTAGAATGGTAACCAATGACCGAACGTCACCAATCGTAGTTTTGAGTTTATAAGTTAAGGGGTTTTCTTTCACTTAATAATAAGTATATATACATATTTTTTAGGTTAGAAATATGATTCGTGAAAAGTGGTATCCAAATATATTTAATTTTTTTTATATAAAGTTTCATAAAAATATTAAAATTAAAGTAAATTCAATCAAGGTGAGACCCTTTCTTTTTTTTTTTTTTACAGACGAAAAAACTATGGCTGTGGTTACACAATTGAATGAAAAAAAAATGAATTTCACATCAATAAAAGAGATAAAATGATGTTAGATTTATAAATCAAGAATCTTCCTTTGTATAAACGCGTCTTTTCAATTGAAAAAAATGTGAGCAAGTTATGTCACTATGAAAAAAAGTAAACTAAATATAGTTTCCAATTTTGAAAATCTGGCTTGAATAGTAGTTGGAATTAAGTTTGAAAGTTCATATTTGATCAGCTATTCAGTAGCCATCTTAGTTAATCAGCTAGTACTAAATTGCTCTCTTTTCATTCTCTATCGCAAATTGGCCCTGTAAATTCCTACTTTGAGATGTTGGACTGCAAACAGTAATCCCATTATATTTACCAAACTTTGGTAATTTGAGATATCGAATCAATAAAGACACAAATCCATAACTCAAAATTAAACTGCTCCCTCGTGAACAAATTAATATTTCACCATTTCTAATTCAAATGAAAAGACAGAAAAGTTGGAAAGGCTTTTACTGTATTTCAGTATCCGTCTGACCTTGACAATTTATAGATGGATATTCTCCCTAACGTTGGTCCTTAATTTTTTTTTCTATTGTCACACATCAACCTTCATGCAGAAAAAGGAAGCAGAAAGGAGCAAGAGACCACAATCTTTTGCACATGAATAAAAAAAAAGATTGCTACATTGCACAGCCAAGGACTACCGTCTGTCTGACGTCAAAATTGCAGTTCAACATGATATGAGTTAATCGGAAATTATTAATTGCTACATTGCATAGCCAAGGACTACTGTCTGTCTGACGTCAAAATTGCAGTTCAATATGATATAAGTTAATCGGAAATTATTAACAAAACGAAGCTGAGGTCTCTATGAGGGGGCACTATTTGGTTTTTGTGACTGGTGGTCATGATCCTCAACTTCTCGTAAGCATCACAACAGGTATGAGAATAGTCTGACATAGGCCCGGAAAGCTCAGGCAGGCGAATTTTAAGACTTCCCAAAGACTTCTCTCTCACTTGAATGCAATGTTTTTTCATGAGCTTTAACTTCCTCTTACAACCTCTTTTTCAAGCTATCAACAACAAATTGCCTCTCCGAGACAGGTTCCTTTGTATTTGCATTTCACCTCTTTCAGCATCTATTTCATCTGATGCAGATATCTTTTGCCTATACGTATGACACCATTCCTCGAATGCCTGGTTCTTGTGCAAAAATTCCTTCCTAGTTTCTCACATTTTTCTTTTAGCTTCATCTCTTCATCTTGATGTAAAATTTTGTTTTTTTTTATCACATCAGCAAATGAAGAGATAGCAGATTTAGCAACCTCATCAGGAACCTTTTCAAGATAGCCATGCCATGTATGAAGGAGTGCTTAGATTCGAGGATTCTGCACTCACGGAGGAGATGAGATTTTCTCTTTCAAGCTGCTTTCAATGGGGACGAGACCAGTAGTTGAGAGCTTGGATATATTGCTTTTGATGAGTCACAAGCTTATCAAATTGTGAATGCCATTCTTTGACAACACTATGAAGTTGGATGGTGCATTCATGGTGGTGCTTTGTCGTTTCTTTGGAGGCAAGTGCAATGCCAAGATATTTAAACCTTTCAACAATCTTGAGCTGGCTATCATAATGTATGCACATACTTGGCCACATGTTAGCCATCCTTTAAATTAGACGTCAAAATTTATGGTCATTATTAAATTCAGTTCAAGATTTTCAAGTACTTAAGTGCAACATGGATACATAATCAAAAACAGCAAAAGCCATTAGTGCTAAGTTGGTTTCTAAATTCAACACATATGAGCCACACAAACAATCGGGGATAAGCTTTTGAAGAAAAGATGCCAACTACAAAGAAAGCATAATCTCTTCATCAAAGTTATTATGCAGTGCGGGAAAAATTTAGTTATAGTTAGCTGTAATATTATAATCTATATATTTATACTTGTATTCCTATAATTAAGTATTTGTATTCTTAAAATTAAAGACAAAAAATTAGAATAAAAAATCCCTCGATTATAGTATCAATTTTAAGAAGATTTAATTTCTTAATTTACCCTGTAATTAGTTATATATAAACGTAAAGTGCTTATATAATTCTTAAGAGAAAATTTTCAACATCTATTCAGTTTTACTCTTAGTTTTCTACGCAATTTTATTTTTTAGTTTTTTCACACGATATAAAAATCAAGATTTTTTTTTGTTACCTTTTTCAAATCTGTCACGTGATAGGCTTCTTTCATCTCTGTCTACACGTGATAGGGGCTTATTAAAATGATGCTATCTCATATCTAATAAATATTTAATTTCTAGTAGTCTTATATTTAAATTGGACCTTTTCACTTACATCTAATTGGTTTTAAGTTAGATACTTAATATGGTATCAGAGCTTTAGGCTTTTCTAGAGAAGCAAAATTTTCAGCCTTCATTATTTACTCTATTTTAGGCCTTCGTTGCCAAACCCTGTTCTATCTTATTTTTTCCTTCTTTAGCTTTAATTGCTAAGAGTCATTTCTAGTTATATTTTAATTATTAAGACTTGTTTCAATTAAAAAAAAGATAACAATATAAAAAAAAAGAATATGTTATCGCTACCACCGACTTGAGAAAGTATCGACTGGTAAAATCGTCGGAGTACTACAAAAATGTCAGAAACATGGTAAGTTGGTAAAGAAAAGATTGAAAAACTGAGAAGCCTATTGAAAGCCCTTGAAAAGTCTACTAAGATATATTCTTGGGTAAGGTCTCTAGTTCAGGTAAAATCTCTAATTCTTATGTGTGGCAAAACAATTATTTACAGTTGATTGTAATATTATAATCTATATATTTATATTTGTATATTTAGAATTAAGTATTTACATCCCTAGAATTAAGGACAAAAAATTAGGATAGATAATCTCTCAATTATAAGATCAGTTTTAGAAAGATTTAGTTTCCTAGTATATCACTAGTTAGTTATATATAAACCTAAGGTTTGTATAATTCTTTATGAGCAGTTTTTTAATATACATTCAATTTTACTCCTAGTTTTTCATACAATTTTATTTCTTAGTTTTTTCATATAGTATCAGAGCTTTAGGCTTTTCTTGAGAAAACATTTTTTTCAGCTTTCATTACTGAATTTTATTTCAGGTTTTTATAGCCAAATCTTGTTAAATCTTTCGATTTTTTTTTTTGCTTTTATTGCCTAAAATCATCTCTGGTTAAATTTTACTATCAAGACTCATTTCAATTATAAAAAAAATAACCATACTAGAAATACAAATCTATAACTACTACTCGATTTGAGGAAGTGACAAATGATAAAACTACCGATGTACTACAAAAATCTCAAAAACAAAGAGAGTTAGATAGAGAAGAGATTGTAAAACTAATAAGCCTATTGAAAACTCTCAAAAAGCCTACTAGGATATGTTCTTTAGGTAAGGTTTCTAGTTTAAGTAATGTTTCTAATTCTCATGGATTA